TAACTTGCAGCAGGGATAAAATATTTTACATTTGTAAACTTTATTTGATCCTTGCCTTGTGACCACTCACTAAATGTGCCTCATACTGGTTGTACCTAAACTGACATTTTTTCTGAACTGCTGGACTGCTTAAAATGGTATTGTATTCAGAGCGTTCTGAATGTATTGTTCGTTTTCATTTTCAGTGTTTAATTCAAAACTGGGTTTATTGTATTAATGTATCAACATTTTCATTCACACACCTGATATCCATTGTTGCATGTCCAGAATATATTGGCGGCAAAATACACATAAATGCCGATACCAACCTGTGTTCATATCATTTCAAGATGTGGACAAGTATAAAGGTGAGCTTCGGTACCTTGATTGTACCCCTCGGGACGGCTGGCTCGCTTGCTCACTCGCTCGCTAAACACTTACATGCAGTTCTTTGCCTTGAACAACACAGACCAAAAAAACACAGTGATAAGAAATATTTTTTAATGCTTTTCCAGTTCCTTTAAAGATTCAGCATCTGGTACGCTTTCATGGCCACATCAAACTGCACCCTGTGTCTGAGAAATATTCTAGATTCCCTTGGCCATAATATCAATCAACACAAAAAATACCTCCCTAAGTCGCTTTCAGTAAAGCCTGCAGAGAGAAATGTTACATCTTACACTCGTTTACGCCAACCCTAAATTATCAATTTTGACTTTTAATTTAGAATTTTAAAAAGTAACACGCTTAATGTTGTATTTCGAAAGTTTAAAGTTGGCATTTGGGCTTGAAAAAATGTATACTTATGAGTTTTAAAACGAGATTTAACATTCTGATGGGTCATAAATCTCACAAATTGTATCCACATTTAAAAAGACATAACACCAGCTCACCGGTAAACACGTGGAGAAAAATACACATGGTCAGATTTGTACCCAGTCACAGAACTGAGCTAGACTTGTGCATTACATCCCCAAACAAGCATAGATTTCTGAACCATTTCATTCAATTTGTGCTTCATCAATAACCTAGAACCCCCACAGCCTGACTCGAGACAGAAGTATTGACCACTTTGTAATGGTCAATGGTTCCCCACCCCTAACCTCCCCAGATCGTTGCGTGTGAGAAGCTATATACGATACATAAGTGAGAGAGGCCATGTGGTCAGATTGAAGAGGATGAAGAGACGGGCAAAGAGCCAGGGTATTTGATACAGACAGAGCCAACCTTCAGTCGGAACGGTTGTCGGGGGATGTGTTCAAGAATTCAAGACATTTCCTTCGGACAAACAGTGCCAGGTCGGCGTGATCTTTCTGGTAAATAAAATACAGGAATTTCTGTCTGTCACTTCAGATTGCTGTGTCAATTAATTCCCGTGGCGGAGTTTTATCCCCAAAGTGACGCCTCGTGCAGACTGAAGATGACAAACACGATATTGATGTCAGCAATTGGTTGATTCTTATAGTAGCTTATGCTTTGCCAGCTTCTCCCGGCATGACGTTTCCAGACAGAACGCAGGGGATTGCTTGCTGTGAATTACCTGAAAGCAAAGCTGGCCAATATGTTTCAAAAACAAAATATCGTACTGCACAATAATAACTTTTCTCTTAATAAGAATTTGGACATGTTTATAGCATAAGTGCTGATAGTGCATTGGAGCAGATACATTAATTTGTTTATAAGAAGCATAAAGGCGTCTATCGATTTAGGTTCTAAAATTCATCCGTAGGCAATTCACATGAATAGGGTTATTGACATTAACTCAACATATTCTGCTACAGAACTTCCACGAGGTGTTTGAGGGAGGCTTGTGGCAGTGACTAGCCAGTCCAGGTGGACTGTTGACGGCATGTGGTGATAGACCATCACTCATTCACAACGCACCGCCATTTTGATGAATTTGGACTTCAACACCGGGACTGATAAATGGCATCTCAAAACCCGATATACACCGTTTGGTTAGTTCGGGAAAAAATGGTGAAATCGGAAAGCCGAAAAGATATTACGTTCCAGAGTAAAGAAGCCCTTCGGTTTCTGTCTGTTTGTAGTGTCGAATTGTGTACCAATGACATTACTGTTGGTAGACATATTTTGTTTGCTTGTTGTTTAACGCCGCTTTCAACGATATTGCAGCTATATGTGGAGTTTGGACCATCATCATCATCATCATCATCATTGTTTTGGCATGGAGTGAGTGAGTTTTAGTTTTACACCGCTTTTAGCAATAATCCAGCAAAATCACGGCGGGGGACACAAGAAATAGGCTTCACACATTTTACCCATATTGGGAATCGAACCCGGGTCTTCAGCGTGACGAAAGAACGCTTAACCACTAGGCTACCCCACGGCCCCTTTTTGGCATGGACTGTTTTTATCTACAATCATCATTACCTTTTGTTGTTGATGTTATTGGGACGCGTATGGCCAGTTCGCAATTCGCGATGATGACTGATGATGATGATGGTGATGATGATGATGATGATATCAATACTATCTGGGGTGGGCAGGGGATCCACTGACCATTACAAAGTGGTCAATACTTCGAGTCAGACTGTGGGGGCGCCAGGTTATTGATGAAACACAATTTTAATGTAATGGTTCAGAAATCTATGCTTGTTCGGGGCATGTACTGGATATAACTGAAAAAGCGGTATTAAAACTCAGTCCCTCGTTCACCCACATGCACCGACTACAAATTACCGCAACTGTAGTAATAGGTGAGGAAGCGATAGGCTTATCAGGAACCCTTCAATACAATAGACCCAGTCATAAGAAAACGTGCCATCCTCTGACTGATTGCCCCAAACTCACGACCTATCAAGCATTAGCTGAATGAAGACCTATTTTTCTTTCCCTATAATCTCATCTCGGTCAGGAGTGTTGATGATAACACGGCTCGACATTCCTCTATGTGGCATTTCTTCCTAACTCAAGTGACTTAATCCAGAAATCAACGCTTCCTCTTCATCTAACTCACCATTATTTTGGACGCCTTCGCCCTCTTGGACGCACGCTCTGCCATTGCGAGGATTCTCTCTCATGAGATTTCATAACAATCCCCCTGGATAAAACCTTCTACTTCAACCGTTTTAATTTGATTCGTGTTTTTGTGTTGCTTCATTCATTCCAGTTTTGATTGCAGCATCACGAACTTAGATATTGATGAAAATTGTGAAGAATGTTTCTGCCTTTTGTCGTGCTGTACATAATTTTATAACTAATCATAGGAATGTTTAACAGGACAAAACACTGTGGCTGATGAAATTCCTTATTTTGACGTATGCCAAACTTCAGGAACTCCATTGCGAATGTAGGAGCGGTTGGGTAGCCTAGAGGTTAAAGCGTTCGCTCCTCAGGCCGAAGACCCGGGTTCGATTCCCCACATGGGTACAATGTGTGAAGCCCATTTCTGGTGTCCCCCGCCGTGAGATTGCTGGAATATTGCTTAAAGTGGCGTAAAACCCAACTCACTCACTCACCCCCACCCCCGAATTTGGGATGTACATGTCCCACTTACGCTTTTCGGGTCCTTTGAGCCGACTAATTCTTCATATCATGTGGTCGAATCCCAGGTTGGCCGATAGTATGTTACTATGTCCCAAATGCCTGGTTCGTGCCAGCGTGTATCAGTCCACCCGTTCTACGTCCTGGCTAGTTGCTCACGATATTAACCACTGGGTATCGCCATTATATAGTTGATATAAAGCAAAACTAGTTGTAAAACAACGCTCACTCCGGTTTCCAGCAGAGAACATGGATCGATTGTTCCGCCTCATGGTGTCATCGTATCTCGACTGCTTAGATTGTGGTTCACAATATCAACCACTTGATCTGTAGTCATACAAACTGATCATGATTGTACTTTCCCGCGTGTATTCTACATACAGTTATCTCCCCGGAAGTTAATAACTCACCGCCTCCGAGGTGTAGTGGTTAACTCACCGCCCGGAGAGCGGAAGGTCTTTCGATCCCCGACCGCGTCATACCAAAGACGTTAAAATATGGTAATTGTTGGTCCCTTCTGGCGCTCGGCATTAATGACAGAAGGACTGGTCAGCTCGGAGTCAGTATAATGTGTCTGATGCATGCTTCACTGCGGCATGGTATCTCAGTGGGCTATCACTATAAAACCAGCTTAAGTCTGGGCTTAGCAGTACACATACACACGCATGCAATATGGCGAAATATTCTCAGTAAAATCCAATTTCACCTCACCTCACCTCCTCCCGGAACTCACCATACGGGTCTTCGGGGCGAGTGATAATTTGCATCTTGAAGATATTCAGTTCTACACCTGATGCTGTATTCCTGGACACACAAGTGGTTAGCAGTGAAAGGGGACCAGTTGATAGGAACCAATGTATTATAGTGCATTGTATTTGTATCAATGTAACGTCAGTAGATTTTGAGCCGCACTCGACTATATACCAGTCGCCGTCATGTTGCTGGATTATCACCGAGTAATTAACAAAACAAAGAAGTGAGTGAGTGAGTGAATGAGGATTTACGCCGCATTTAGTAATATCACAGCTTTATTACGGCGGGTGAAACCAGAAATGGTCATACCCATGTGGTGAATCGAACCCGGGTTGTAAGCGTCCTGAGCAACCGCTTTTAACCACTAGGCTACCGGACCGCCCCCCCAACAAAAAACAAAAAACAAAACCAACAACAAACAAACAAACAAACAAAATAAACAACAACAAAAAACAAACAAAACAAAACCAAAAACCCACAACAAAACAACCCCAAACAACCAACCCCAACAAAAACAACAACAAACAAAAAAAACAAAAAAACTAACAAACAAAACCCAGTAACCAAAAAACAAACAAAAACAAAAACAAACAAACACTTACAATGAAACATCAGGGCAAGAGTCAAACCCGGTCCTCAATATGAGGAGTGTGAGTGAGTTTAGTTTTACGCCGCCTTTAGCAATTTTCCTGCAATATCACGGAGGGGGACACCAGAAATGTACTTCACATATTGTACCCATGTGAGGAATCGAACCCGGGTCTTCGGTGTGACGAGCGAATGTTTCAGCCACTAGGCTACCCCACTGCCCCCTCAATGTGAGGAACGAACACTTTCATTGCTAACTCAAGCGTATCATCGGGCTCAACCTCCGCAGAAGAAACATCTACAGCATCAACCGAAGTGCACCTTGCCGACAACAACAACAACATCACCACCAGTAACGACACGCCATGAACAGCATGACACCATTTACAATGCTGTGACAATAATACGCCTGTTGTGTTATTATCCAGTTTGTCATCATCATTTTGAAGTCCGTTGTCAGTACGACGCTGGAAGAAAGATAAAGTAATATATCACTCATTTGGCGATGTAACGTTTTTCTTTATATCAAACGGACAAAATTTGTTTTCTCCGATGAATCAGAAATATAATAGTTTCCTAATTACCAAGCTAGTCGTCAGAATGCTCCAGCTCTCTCATCAACCAGCTGGCTACGGCTTGATAGAGTAGTGTGTTCGTAATCCAGTCGTGGCGAGTATTGTCTGCCGACATGAAACGCTCTGATCAATAAGATGGTTTAGAGTCCGTGTTCTTATCCTGTCTACGTGGCGCGTTAGCTGCTTCGAGTGGGAAGAGATTTACAGCAACAAAACAATAGCATCGCGAAGCTGAGGGTCTCTTCATAAGAGTTTTGAGAAACACTATACAAAATGTTTCTAAACAAACAAAATTCACGCCTTAAAATGGTTTTCTACAGGTTACACACCACCAAATGTTTTCCTATAGACTTCTATAGTAACCTTATATTTCTTTTTAAAAATATCCAGGCTATCAACAGCCATTCCATGTACACATGGGTACACTCTAGCCTTTAAACTACCATAAAACAAAATATCAGGCCAACTTGTCCGGCTCGTTTTGCGAGCACAGGAAGCGGAACACATCAACCCCAGTTCCGCACCAAATGTCACCTACTGGAAAATATATGTACACACAATAAACATAAGTAATGGTGATAAAAATGACAGCACTAAATACTTAAAATTATGGTCAGTTTTAATTACTGGTTGGATGTGCTTTTAAAAAACATAAACGTCTTACACTATTTCATCCAATCACAGCTGTCACACGGCTCTCGCGCAGGGAGCATGTGATACTGATTTAATGTTGTGGAACCTTCAGAAGCTGCGCCATTGAAGTAACGAGTTCCGCTGGGTTATCTCCCTTTGTAAACAAGGTCTACCGGAAGTTGGAATCAACATCACAATGTTTGGACTTCAGAATGTTATTGTTTGTTTATTTTTGTTTTAGCCGAGAGTAATAACGCAATGGACGCCTACGTCACAGTATGGGAGGTACAACCAAAGTAGCGCTTTAGAGCTACAGGAACGCAGTGAACATGAGGCACTACGTTAGGGTCAGCAACACGAGAGTGGCATTACACTTCTCGAAGTGGTGTTTCAGCTACGTTGTTATAATGGACTTCAGTTATCTTGACCTTGACCTTCAAGTTAGACAACCCCCACGAAAAGAACTTGGTCCAGCCTAAAGGAAGAGTCTTCAGTGATAAGTGGGTACGGTTTTCAAAGCGACCTTCAGGTCATAACCTTGACCTTCGATCAGACAACTCTGAAAAGAGAACACTGGAGGTCATTCAGCTATGAGTGGGTATGGTTCTCAACCCTCAGAAACAGAACCTTATCCAACTTTATTGAAGTGTTCTCAACACCGACTGGGAGAAACATCCCTTTCGGGCCACAGTTCCTTATAATGAAGACGCAATGGAGAAGAACCGCCCGGAGTTCAGTAGTGACAAACCAACACTTCAAGCACCCATTGATCAAAACCACATTTGTAAAACTTACAGTCCTTAATAATAAGCACTATTTGAAAGAGTTAACTTTTAATATGCTCCTTCGAAAGTAGAGTGAAACGGGTGGGGCGGATGGAAGGATTGACAGATGAGATGGATCGAAGGATGGACGGAAAATAACAGACAGGTAAGACCAGGTAGGCAGATTGATCATTTGATAAAGATAAAGAACAGTTTACTCCCGACAAGCGTGGTGGGAAGGTCCAGGCATACCAACAGCATTAGGCGATGATTGTAATATATACACTGAATAGACGAGGCTTAGAAAGAAAATATACTTCACGTTCCTTACTCTTATTCAGAACTTTGTCTTCCATGTCTGGAATTCACAAACTTCAAAGGTGTATTTGTTATATCACCTCCAAAAACAAACGCCACATCGGGGGAGGGTTGGTGAGTGTTCACACGTTCCAAATAAGTCGCATTCGGAACATACGCGGGGAAATTTCGCTTCAGGAATTCGCCTCGGAAGTTACATAAACCGGTTACTATAAACACATGGAACGATCCACGATTCCACGATCCATGAATCTCGATTCCACGATTCACGATTCCACGATCCACGCCTTCGGGACACGAATGACACGTAATCGGCCTAGTCAAAAAGTTTAACCCCCAGACAAAAGATGTTTGGCGAAACAAAGTATACACCCATGTTGGATGATGGCTGAAAAGGAAACAAACAAGTAAAGGTAACTCGAATATAATGTCTTGGTACGGATATCCTAGTGGAGTTATGGGCCTTTTAGGGAGTATTTTGGCGACAGTTTTCAACCAAGTACCGTTTCATGACGCGTTTAATTTTTTGGTCAAACCCAGTTTCAAGTGTATACTTTCTTTTTATCACGGGGGTGGTGGGGTAGCCTAGTGGTAAAAGCGTTCGTTTGTCACGCTGAAATCCCGGGTTCGATTCCCCACATGGCTACAATGTGTGAATCCCATTTCTGGTGTCCCCCGCCGTGATGTTGCTGGAATATTGCTAAAGGCAGCGTACAACTACACTCACTCACTCTCTTTTCACGGGCAGTTTTTGCTTAAGCTATTCATAGACAACTACGTATAATTACGTAAAACACTTCAGGCTCGAAAAATACTGAAATGTTCAGTCGTAATATTTGGCATCTGAATATTACAATTAGGTTAAGTAATTATTTAACACAATATCTATAATTCTAATTCTTCAAAAGCGTTTTGACAACAAAATATGCTTTCAGTTTCAAAATCTTTGAGTCAATTAATTTACAAACTCTCCAGATCGTCGCAATAAATAACTTTTTTATTTACATAAAAACGTAACTTTTATGCAGCAGAGCTTGGCAAGAGCGAAAACTGAGATCTGACTTCAATGAGATTTTATGATCATCGGATAAAATCATTAAATACAATCACCCACTCAATTATATTCCCATGTTCATATTCCAAGCTAACTTAAAAAATACACCCATAATATTCTTATAAAATCATAAAGTTTAAAAACAAATTAACCTTTGCCACTTAACCCATGCTTAAAACAAGTTTGGTGTTAATCATATGATAACAGGTAAGTGTGTTTAAAGCCAGTTTCTTCTCAAGGCGCCGCATGTTGGTAAACTCAATGAATATCAACCAAAACAGATGTGGCATGGGTGTCGATAAGTTTAGGGAATATGATTTGCCGCCTGCGATACTGAACAAATTCTTGTTATTCATCCTCTTCGAATAATGAGATTACCCAGCGTTCCAGACATAGTTGGGTCTACTGGCATCGCGCCACCTGCACCCTATGGTTTCGAAGAGTGTTTGTTTCCCTTTCAACATCTCACCTGTACAGAAATGTTAATGTGATGGACATAATCACATAATCACGCCAGTGTTGTAAACATATTTTACGATACTTTTACGATTGAAAAAACTGAGTTATAGATGGGTAGTTATTTGCAAGTTTCAGGTTCAGTTTTCATAGTTCTTCGAAACACGGAGTTCGTAATGTACAGGAGAAAACAACATTGATGTACGATGTAAAATATGTTTACAATATTTTCATGTTTTTATATTTGTCAACAGGCTAAGGTTTGTTAATGTGTTGAAGAAAGGATCATCATGAATATTGATTTAAAAGGATCATCACGAATATTTCTTTAAAATGATCATGATGAATATTTCTTTAAAATGATCATGATGAATATTTCTTAAAACGGATCATTATGAATGTTTCTCAAAAGAATCATTAATATTTTGGGGAATTGATTTTTGAAGACTGAGAACAAAAATTCATGATCTACACCAAGATATTCATGTTCCCAATCTTTTCGTGTTCAGTATACATACTCAAAATAAAATATCCACGGGTAATCCTCCACTGTTTCGGTCTATATTGCGAGCTCTTCTCGTTGAGGTAAATCTGGCTCAATACACTCAGACATTCTACTCAGTATTACATGTCCTTGCGGAAGAGGTTCCCAGTACCCCTTGCTTGCTGTCAGATCAAAATGGGGATCGGTTGGTCAAGGACTGTGACTTATCCCGACGATACAGATTTGATAGAGGACATCGTCATATAACAGATGCTGCCTGTCTGTGGCTTACAATAAAAATAACAAAAAGTAAGAGCTGAACGTGTACATATTAGTTTTATGATGATTACGACTGTCGTAAGTCAATGAGATTTAAGTGGCTTACAAAAATACTCACTCACTCTAACGTACTAAGGTACTTCACATCCTGTTGCCCTCGCAGCTTGAAACAGAATGACGAATTATCACGATTATCAATCAACAAAAACAGCTACGTGTCTGCTATTACTTATAAAATGAAAGCAAGCCTTTCGGCAATAAGGAATATTATATACAATACCGAAACATGTGTTCTTAAAAAAATATCCAAATAATGAGCGATAAACATCGCCATTGAATACTGGTCACGTGGCTACAATCCGGATATGTATCGGCAGTCACGTGACTGCTAGAAGCTATATTTAGCAGCGTGTGCATCTCGAACTGTGTCTGTAGACTAAACAATACATCGTGTGCACGTGGTTTTCCTTTAGTGCTGCACACGCTGTTAAAATTGATAATGATTGAAACAAATCGGAAAACAATATTGCACTTGACTTATTTTGTCGATAGAATAATGTTCGCGATGGAGGTATGTTTATGCGTTTATGTTTTATTCATCCATGTATTGTGGAGGTATCTGAGGCATGCGTTAACATGGAACCGTGTTCACGTGTAAAAAGCACAGAGGAGAAACTCAGGAATACTGTCAGTCAGCCTCCTCATTCATCAAATGTAATTGAGTATTTACTGATATATCATCATTTAGAAGGTGTGGGTTTCTCTTGACCCATTTTCGATGTTACATTGACTAGTGTTCTTTTTAATCAGGTTTGGTTTTATGTATTTTCTGTTATTTTTTGTGGGTATGTATTGTTATTCCCTAGCGGACAGTCCACTGGTTGTTGCTATATCCAATTCATGC